TTATTTTTATTTTTTAATTTTTTATTTTTTTTGAGTTGGAATCTCACTCTGTCGCCCAGACTGGAGGGCAGTGGCCGCTCCCGGCCACCGCAGCCTCGACCTGCCGGGCTCCGGCGATCCTTCCGCCTCAGCCTTCCGAGTAGCCGGAATTACAGGCATGCGCTACCACGCCCGGCTGATTAATTTTTTTTTAAATCAAAAAGGGGTGTGAATAATTTTTCTTGTGGGAGCTTCCTGGCCCCCGGGGAGGCGTCTGGGGAGAGCCCGGCTATGGGTGTTGGGGAGTGTGTCTAGACTTTTGCCCGGTGCATCCAGCCTGGGGGCTTCCTGGGAGCCCTGTGGCTGTGGGCGCTCCACGCAGGACGCCGCGGCCCCTGCCTCTGTCATCAGTGCCTTGTGTTCCTGACCTGGACCACCAGGAGCCCTGAAGCTCTTCTTTCAGCTGATGCAGGAGAGTCATCCTGGGCGCCGCCACCCCTTGCTGGGTGGCTGGTGGTGACTCTCGTCGGAGTGGGCCATCGTCCTGGGCAGCGACACGTCGGAAGAATCGCTGTCTGCTTCTCGGAAACTGTGTGGTGAATCTGCTGTGTGCACGGCGCCGGCGGGTCTGGCTGTGCTGGGTGCCCTCACCCTGTCCCTCACCAGGGGCTCCCGACAGATTGAAGTGATGTGAGCAAGGAAGACAGAGGGAGGACGTGGCCGGCTCCGGGCTCCGGCCACCGCACCAGAGGGCAGAGTCGGTGCCTGGGATCCACACGGCTGGGTTCCCCCGGCCCAGCAGCAAAGCCCAGGCTTCATACAAACCACCTGTGCGGAGAGAAACAGGCCTTTCCCTTTACGGCTGTGAAGCTATTGCAGAGCATTTTTTTTTTTGAGTTAGGTCTCACTGTGTCACCCAGCTAAAGTGCAGTGGCATGACTTGCTACAGCCTCAACCTCCCGGACTCAGGCGATCCTCCTGCCTCAGCCTCCTTGAGTAGCTGGGACTGCAAGCGTGCACTACCACACCTGGCTAACTCTTTGATTTCTGGTAGAGACGAGGTCTCACTGGGTTACCCAGGCTGGTCTCACGCTCCTGGGCTCAAGCGATCCTCCTGCCTTGGCCTCCCAAAGTGCTGGGATCATGGACGTGAGCCACCATGTCTAGCCTCAGATTATTTTTTTTCTGAGTCGGAGTTTCACTCCATTGCCCAGGCTGGAGTGCAGTGGGCATGCGCATGACCACCGCAGCCTCAACCTGCCGGACTTCGGTGATCCTTCCGCCTCAGCCTTCCAAGGTGTTGGAACTACAGACACACGCCGCCACGCTCGGCTAGTTTTTGTGATTTGTTGTAGAGACAAGGTCTCGCCAAGTTGCCCAGGCTGGTCTCGAACCCCCGGGCTCAGGCAATCCTCCTGCCTTGACCTCCCAAAGTGCTGGGGTCACAGGCTGAGCCACCACGCCCAGCCAGATAATTTTTTAAGACAGCTTTACTGAGGGACAGTGGACACGCAGTGAGCCTCACACGTTTCAAGTTTGCACCTTGGCAGGTCCCTGTGGCCATGGTGGTGGCACAGCCGGTGACGGGCCTTTGCTTCGAGGCGTTCTTGCCCACGAAATCGTCAGTCTGGACAGTCCTTTCTCTCGTGATGCTCCAGCTGGCCGCTGGAGGCTGCCTGTCACTGTCGATGAGTGTGCGTGCTCCACAGTGTTCCAGAGGTGGACTGGCACGGGGCATCTCTTTGGCCTGGCTCGCCTCGCCCACGTGATGGTTCTGCCCTCGCGGGCACGCGTGTCAGGGGCGCGTCCCGTTGCTGCCTGTGGTGTCCAGTGTAGGGACAGACCACCGTCGACACGCCCACCCTGCGTGGCTGCCACGAGGTTCCTGACCTTGGGCTTTGGCAGAGAAGCTGCTGGGCCCGCTCCTTAGCCGGTGCCGATGTCAGCCTAGCCTCCTTCCCCGTCCTCCCCTGCGGCGGCCGGAGTCCGACGCGTTCATTTCCGCCTTGCTCCTCTGTGTTTCTCAGCGCCGGGCGCGGGGGTTGGGAGGGCCGGGGCAGTGCCTCTCGGCCAGTCCTGCCAGGGCGCCTCCCTGGGGTCTGCTTGTGAGGGCACGTGGGCGGCAGCCCCCGAGCTCCAGGTCCGGAAGAGCCGTCCCGGGACCAGCTTCCCGGCTGCTTTCTGAGCCAGCGGAGACCTTGGAGACCGTGGGGGTGGGGGTGCAAGTGGGGCCCCAGGAGGCGGGCTCCCGGCACTCAAGGAGTCGCACTGGTTGTTGCTGCTTTAAAGGTTAACACGGGGAGGAGAAGGCTCTTTCGTTATTAATATTATTATTGTTGTTATTATTAATTTTCTTTGAGTCGGAGTCTCACTCTGTTGCCCAGGCTGGAGGGCAGCGGCATGCTCACGGTCACCACAGCCTCCACCTGCTGGGCTCCGGCGATCCTTCTGCTGCAGCCTTCCAAGTAGCTGGGACTACAGGCATGCCCCATCACGCCCGGCTAATTTTTCTTGACTCATTGTAGAGATGAGGTCTCGCCATAGTGCCCAGGCAGGTCTCGAACCCGCGGGCTCAGGCAGTTCTCTTGCCTCATCCTCCCAAAGTGCCGGGATAACAGGCTGAGCCACCGCACCCGGCCTCTTTATTTTAAACAATTATTATTATAACTTTTTGTGGTGTGGGCGCACTCATGGCCACTTCAGCCTCAACCTGCTGGGCTCAGGCGATCCTCCCTTCTCAGCTTTCCGAGTAGCTGGAACTGCAGGCACGCTCTACCACGCCCAGCTGACTTTTTTGATTCATTGTAGAGACGAGGTCTCACCAAGTCGCTCAGGCTGGTCTCAACCTCTGGGCTCAGGGAATCCTCTCGCTTCTGCCTCCCAAAGTGCTGGGATGACAGGCATGAGCCACCGTGCCCGGCCATCTTTTTGGCTTTTCTTTTAGAGACCAGGTCTCCCCATGTTGCCCAGGCTGGTCTTGAACTCCAGAGCTCAAGCGACCCTCCCACCTTGGCCTCCCAAAGTGCTGGGGATGACAGGCGTGAGCCGCTGCACCCACGGGAGGCACGGGTGAATTAGTGGGTGGTGAGGGCTGTCTCCGGGCTCTGGTGCCCACAGGGAGGGGCTGGCGGTTGTCCGACGCACTCCCGGGACCAGCAGCAGAGGGAGACGGTGCTGGGGTTCCGAGGCGCTGGGAGCTGAGCCGACCAGCCTTTATGGGGTGCGTCCTGGGGGCGCCGGGACAGCCTGAGGTGTGTGGCTTGCAGCGTGGACACGGCGGGATGGTCGTCCGGGAGGCAGCGCGGGCCGGGTGCAGGGTGCAGGGCTGGGCTCCGTGTTCCTCGGGCTGGGTGGGTGAATCTGCGGAGCCCGGGGGAGTGCTGTCCGGGTGGCCTTGGCGGTCCTGGAGCCGGGAGGGATGTGGGTCCCACCAGGTCCCTGGGTGTGCCGGGGACAGCCAGGGACAGCCAGGGGCAGCCAGGGTCGAGGCGCGCTCCCGGGAGACGCTTGTGGGGACTGGAGGGGAGGGCCCTGAGGGGGCCAGGAGAGGGGAATGGTGGCCAGCGGGGGGCACTGGCCCTGAAGGGGCCCAGACGTGGTGGCGGGCAGGAGGCCTGGGGCGGCAGCTTGGCACCCTGTTGGGAGAGGCCGGTGTCAGGGAGGCCTGGGGTCGGGGGAGGCTGGGTGCAGGGGGAGGCCCGAGGTCGGGACTGCGGCCTGCCAGGAAGAGAGAGAGGCCACCGGCAAGCTCGGGGAGGCGGCGTAGACAGCGAGAGGCTGGGTGGTCGCCGAGTCTCTCCTGAGGCCTGTCCCCTCGTGTCCCCTCGTCAGCCTGCCTCGTGGAGTCTGTCCTTGTGTAAGCAGTGTCTCAGGGACTGGGGCGCTGGCTCGCGCCGGTCATCCCAGCACTCTGGGAGGCCGAGGCGGATCCTGCTCCCAGCACGAAGGTCGCTTGAGCCCAGGAGCGTGAGGTCAGCCTGGGCAACGTAGCGAGACCCGGCCTCTGCAAAACGTTAAAACATTAGCCAGGCGTGGTGATGCTCGTGTCATCCCAGGTCCTTGGGAGGCCGAGGGGGGAGGACACCTGAGTCCAGGACGTCGAGGCTGCTGGGAGCTGTGATCGTGCCAGTGCGCTGCAGCCTGGGCGACGTGAGACCCTGGCTCAAAATAAAGCCAGGCGTGGTGGCTCATGTCTCCGATCCCAGCACTTTGGGAAGTGGGGGCGAGAGGACTGGCAGAGCCCAGGGGTTTGAGACCTGCCCAGGCAACTTGGCGAGACCTCGTCTCTACAGTCAATCGAAAGAGTGGCCGGATGTGGTGGCACACGCCTCTGGTTCCAGCTACTTGGAAGGCTGAGCGGGAGGCTTGCTAGAGCCCGGCAGGTGGAGGCTGTGGTGGCCGTGAGCATGCTGCTGCCCTCCAGCCTGGGTAACAGAGAGAGACTTCAACTCCAAAAAAAAAAAACGTGCTGCCAATTCCGGCCGAGCATGGTGGCTCCAGCCTGTAATCCCAGCGCTTTGGGAGGCCGAGGCAAGAAGATTGCCTGAGCCTGGGGGTTTGAGACCAGTCTGGGCAACTTGGCGAGACCTCATCGCTACGATAAATCAAGAAAAACTGGCTGGGCGTGGTGACACGCACCTGTAGTTCCAGCTCCTTGGAAGGCTGAGGCGGAAGGATTGCCGGAGCCCAGCAGGTCGAGGCTGCGGTGGCCGGGACTGTGCCCCTGCCCTCCAGCCTGGGCCACGGAGTGAGGCTCCGCATCAAAAAAAACAAACCCCAAAAGCGTCTGGGGCTGGCCTTGGGATTCTCACGGCTTCCCGAGGGCTCACAGGACGTTGGAGGCTGCCGTGGGTGCTCTGAGCTGCTTTCCCGTGTGGGCCCTCACCAGCCCCTCCCCCTGCACGCGGCACAGACCACTGGGTGGGCGTGGGGCCCGGGAGACGGGCATGTGCATGCAATGGGGAGGGCTGCGTGGGCGCCATGGCTGGGGGCGTGCCAGCCTGCCGCCTGCGGGCACGCAGACCCGGGACGTCGGGCCCGGCGGCGTCTCACGGCTGCTTCGACGTTTGCTCCTTCAGGCCTGTCAACGACGTGGTCCCAGAACTCCCGCTCCCAGCACCAGGGCAGCTCCTGCTCCCAGCACGAAGATCGGAAGCCTTCGGAGGTACTTGCGGTGCCGCCCGCCGTGCGCGTCTGGCGAGCGTGCCCGCGTGTCGCCCTGAGCCGTGAGTCCGTGCTGCCGCGCGCCTGGTGG